GGGATAACATGTATCTTTTTATGTTTATATTTTGGGTGTTTATCCAACTAAATAAATATAATTTTAATATATATAATTGTGCTGAGTTAAGATTCATCTATTATATTATAAATTAAATCAAAATTCACGCGCCTTTAAGATTTATTCTTAAAATAAAAGTAGATAAATATAAAAATACTTTAAGCAACAGAGAGAACATATATACATTTTTCTAGAATAAATTAAATAAATATTCATGGTGGAATATTATTCAATATCTTATTGTGCGTTCATAAATTATTCTACATTGATTCATTATATAAACGATATGGTTTATTAATTTTCTTATTTGGATATATAAATCCCATGAAAAAATAAAAATGGACACAAAGATTACGAAAATGAATTTATAAAAATAATATATTTTGCGATCTTACGTGAGGAACAAGTCAATTTAGATTTTTTTTTCTTAATTAGGTCATGCACATAAAAAATGTCAATATCATATAGGCACTGACGTAGTTTTATTTCATATATATACATATATAATTTATAAGTAAAATTGTCGACATTAATAAAGAAGATGCATGTTATTCAATTTATTTATTTATTTTTAATAGAAAGGATGCTAGGCCTCTCCACCATAAAACTGTGATCTCTCAAATGGGGAGGATCATGCAAAGTCTCTGATATAAGAACATTAGCAAACAACAGGGCCGACCTTATACATGTGCCAGATGGGCGACGGCCCAGGGCAACATGTAGGAGCATCATTTTCTAGAAGATAAAGATGGGCAGCATGTACGTGTTACTGCAAGCTGATTTGGACAAAGAAATGTGCTGTCGACTTTGGTTTTGTTGGTAATGATTTGGTTCACCATTCAACTCGACATCAGCCGAGTCAAACCCTTGTTCAATTCCCCCACTTGTTCTTTTCTCACCACTTAATTGAATTGGAGAATCAGGGAATGAAGTGTTGAGTGAAGGAAGCTATGAAATTGTTTGAAAATGGGGAAACCCATTTGGCTTTCCAAAATAAAGCCCATCTGACACATGTATTGGTAATTATTTGGATTCGCACATTACACCAAATGGGTTTCCTCATTCTCCAGGTAAAATCTCATAGCTGCTTCGGCTTTATTTTGGATTCGCTCATTAAAAACCCGTTCTGTGTATCTATTATTTCTCTATAGTTAGAATTTGGGTTTCTGGTTCTGCAATTTCCCTATTTTCTTTTGTCTTTACTTTCTTTATGTATGGATTTCGGTTATTTTTGTTCTTTCTTTCGAGTCTGATAATGGGTATCTCTCGGTTTTACAAGTTGTTCGGGCTAAATTTTTAGGGTACCTATTAGATGATGGATCGCCCAGGCAAAGAGGGAAATCAGACTTGTCTGTTTTTAAGAATTTTGTCGAAGATTGCCTTGATTATGAACCCAACCCAGTTGAGAGACATGCGAAGTCGAAGCCACAAAGTTAAAATGATATTCAAGTTGATAAGTTTTCAAGTTTGCGTATAAGGTAAGACCAAGTTCAAACACTTTAACTTAGGTTCCACTAATTCTTAAGTGGCAAGTGGCAAATAGCAAAGCCTTGATTGTTACATTTTCTTCTGTTTGATAGGAAGCAATTGGTCAATCCTGCAGAACTCAGTGAGCGGTTGTTGGATATTGGATTTTTTTCGACTATCAACTATAAAGTATGCAATTATACTCTTGCTTGTCAATTATGGTTTTATTGATATATATATATATATATATATATATATTTAAGTTCCCTTGAAGTTTGGCTTACCTATATTATTACTTGCTAGGCCTTGATAAAGCATTGCTATACATACACCTCATCAGGCAGATGACAATATATTTTTGGGCTCTTTGCAGGAATTTGTTGAAGGGAGACACCCTTTACGGTTGTTGGGCAACCATAGGAGTGTTGACTGAAAAGGGAGCTCCAAAGACTAGTTCAATCGGGCAGAGCTATTCCATATGGAAAATTGGGTGCTTAGATGAAAATATTGTTTCTCTTTTCTTGTTTGGTGATGCTTATGAGCAGAATTGTAAGGAGCTTAATCAATTCTCCCTTCGAAAATCCAAAAAAATTAATGGAAGTTTATGGTCTTCTCGGTGCAGACGGTGCATAATCATCGATGGAAGGGCATAAAATTATTATCTCGCCCAGGGCATTAAAACTCATTGGACCGGCCCTGACAAGCAAGGTGACATGTCGGAGAAGATATGAAGCAAGCCGTTGGGATTGGATTGCTTCTTGGCGAGAGAATCGGAGGCAAAGCTTGCTTCACGTCTAATTAGGACAAAGTCCAACATCTAAGGCTTTGAGTAGGATCGAGCAATGGCGAGAACAAGCGAGAGGGAGTTGGACGTTGTTGTAGGGGAGGTGATCAGCTTGAAAGCTTCTGCATTGTCAGTCTGACATTAAACACGTTCAAACCCGTAAGCCCCATACAAGATTAAGGCTCTTGTAGATTCCCCAGAGCTCAGCGTCAAGGACGGTGGAAAATCCAATAGTCTTGTGAAAGCTAATATGCTTGAACATATAATTGGACATAAATGTTGAGATATAATCCCTTAATATATATAGAAAAAAACATAAAATAAAAACGTTAATAGAATTTAATTCTAAGTAAAGGTAAAAAATTATAATAATTACGTATATTAATATTTTATTGTAATTATAATATTTTACGTAATTATGATAAATATCATGAAGGTGTAATAATTTATGTAATTTAATGAATTTTCCGTAATTGACCTTAACCTAGTATCATTTTAATATTTTTATAGTAGAAGTAGCCATAATTATTTTTTCCCAAAATTAAGGTTTTATCCTTCTGCCTCTTTCAGTCAAAAGGGTTATCTAATAAAAGTGGGCCATTTGGTGGGGGATTTAGGCATTAGTCACCAAACCTTATTCAAATTTAATAAAACCATAACAAAAAGAATAAATTATACCATTAGTCACCAAACTATTACGTAATATTCTAATTTGGTCACCAGGCTATTGGTTTTGACAAAATCATCACTGATGTTAATTTTTCTATTTTAATTAATGATTGCTACCGCGAATTTTTTTGAACTTTTTATACCATTTTATCTCTTCTCATCAGTAGTCCACATGTCATCTTTTAATGATTGTATTCGAACTAATAAAGTGATGTCATCTTTTAATTGTATTCGGATGTGGTTACATAGATACAGTATGCTTGGAAAACGTTATAATTTACAAATCACACTGAATTGGGTATAATTGAAGATTCCAAAGTATATTCTTCAACTCTAAGGAAGGGGAGTGATTATTGGTGTAGTTATGCAGTTCATAACACCATTCCACTTTTTATGAGATATATTATATGAAAAATTATCTTATATACAGACTATGTAATTTTTTAGAGGATAAAAGTAATTAATCTTATACTTTTAAATATCGCTTTAGTTCTATACTTGCATTAAAGAAATAACAGTTTACAGCTTTCTTATTAATTGCTTATTGATTACACATAAACAAATTAAAATGAAGCATGCAAAGCTATTAAATTAGCCATTGCTTATAGTTGCAATAAAAGCAAGATGTTATATATATAACACCCAGATTTTGAGTTATTGACCAACCGCCATGCACTGGTGAGAATTTCACATTATTATTTTGTGATGGTCCATGGAGATTACCAGGTGCTATATCCCCATGAAAGCCTGGACAATAACGTGGTGGTGGCATGGCGAATTCAGCTCCAAAAAGCATCGAAGAAGCTCCTGAAGATCATGCGTGGAGTATATATGCTTCTCCTCGATCATTTGAAGCATCGCGTGTTGAAAATCTCGATAAGGGTCGTTGGAATTCTTCACCACAGCGATGCTGTCGATGATTTTAGAGCAAGGGCTGAGCGTAACTTAGGAAGATGACGATGATGATATTGTATCGACATTGGAAGTTGATGATGATGTGGAGGAGGAAGGATTTGGGGATGCAGAGACTTTGGGTTTTGGTTTATAAACATCGCAAAAGTTTCGGGTTCCCGCAGCTCTGCATCTTGCATTTGCTGGTAAGAGAATTTTTAACTGGTTTTTGTTGTTGGAAGACATGAATGAAAGATGTAATTTTGATGAGAAAGATGAAATAGGACGTGAATGAGTATACTGTTTGTTTTTGGGACTTAACTTACAGGAAATGTTGGTACGAGTCTTGTTGGAACATGAAAGATGCAATTTAGTTCAGAGGGACGTGAAAGAAAGAAACAAGAGGATTGTTGGTACGAGCCTTTTTCAACATTTTCTTGGGTAGGAATCATTTTATCTTTGAACTTTATATTGAGTATACTGTTTGTTTTAGGGACTTAACTTACAAGAAATGTTAGACATGTGAATTACGGAGATAGATTGTTTATTTTAAAAAATTAAAATTAAAATTTTTATCCTATAAAAAAGTCAATATAAGAATTTAGTATTTGTATTTTTTGTTTAAATTTTTTAATTTCATTTCACACCCTTCAAGTCATTAAATGTAAGAGATGAGGTTGAAGTAGAGTGGAACCTAATATATCTGTAATCTTATTAAAATAATATACATAAAGAATACAGATTTTTGTCAAAGAAAGTACCTAACAAACACTTTATCCACAATCCCTTCATGGGAAACGACAAATAATTTTAAAAAAATATTCAAGAAATTTCCTTGTTGCTTGATCCCATATTCCTCCTAATTCAAGAATATTAGATATATAAGTTAGAATATGGATACGAGCAGAGGGGTATTTCTTATGCCATCTGCTCCTGTTCTATGTACATTTGCTCCATCCACGGTGGAAGTGTTTCTTGAACCCCTTTACCGACACTGTAACGTTGTTGCTGCTGCAACTGCTCTCCCGTAGAAGCACCATCTCTCACGATCAAGTGAACCCAGGACACTCTGGCTCATTGGCATTGGATGCCATCATGTTTGTCGTTGCTGTTGTGGTGGGATTGTTGTTCCGGAATCCGAAAGACCATATTCCTCCTAATTCAAGAATATTAGATATATAAGTTAGAATATGGATACGAGCAGAGGGGTATTTCTTATGCCATCTGCTCCTGTTCTATGTACATTTGCTCCATCCACGGTGGAAGTGTTTCTTGAACCCCTTTACCGACACTGTAACGTTGTTGCTGCTGCAACTGCTCTCCCGTAGAAGCACCATCTCTCACGATCAAGTGAACCCAGGACACATCTGGCTCATTGGCATTGGATGCCATCATGTTTGTCGTTGCTGTTGTGGTGGGATTGTTGTTCCGGAATCCGAAAGAAGCAGACTTCCTAAGCCTGTTCAGCTCATCTCCTTGAATGCCCCAATCCAGTTTCCCATCAGGGGAACTCCAATCAGAAATATTTGAAGACATCATGGTTGTGGAGGTGGCAGTAAGTCCAGCCCGACTGGTCATTGCCCCACGGTCTATAAAACTCTGGCTCCGTTTTGCAAATCCGGAAGACCTGGAATTCATTACTGCTGCAGCCACTGCAGCAGATGAGTCAAAACCAAATGCTGATGGCTGCCTCACCGGAGATGATGAAAGGTTCATTGGGTAGCTTGCTCGGAGCTGGTTCATGTTTTGGCGAATTTGAAGCCCAGTTGGAGATTGCAACTGGGTTGGTGTTGCAGATTTTACTGAAAGTCCCTTCAAGGGAGACAGAAGAGATGGATCAAGGGATCCAAAAGCACCATCGAGATTAGTAGGCTTCAAATCCTCAAGCCTACTGTATTCGTTTCTCCAGCTAGATGGGGAGGAGAGACTAGCTATTTCATCCATCAACTGTTGCTGTTGCAATTGGCTAGCATGGTTCTCAAGGGCATGTAATTGCATTTTCAAATCAAAATCTCTGGCATTAAAAGCAGCCTTTAAGCGGCTACCTGGTAGATGCAAGGCAGGTGGAGTGAGGTTAACTTTGTTGTGCCACAAGTTCCAGATATTTGGAGAGGAAGAAGCAGCTAAAGGAGACATGGGTGGTATTGAAGCAGTAGGCAGTGGCAAGGAGGATGAACCAAGTGCTAGAGGGCTCAAATTTGCCACGTCCACTGCATTGATAGCAGTAGACCTCGGCGAAGGCATGGCTGAACCAGTTGAAGCATTCACGGGACGTAATTCTTCAAGTTTGTGGGCAAAGAAGCAGATTTTGCGATTGCACCAAATCTCATCTTTGCAAAGCCTTGTTCGATATTGAGCAGGATGCAGCCGAGATTCAAAAATACCATGAGCATATTCACAAGCATCACCCTTAGGGCATGCCCCCTTCCGGAACTCGGGGCAGGGCACGCAGCTATAAGGGTACTTCCTTAGGTCCCTCCTCCTCGCATTCTCGCCAGGATGAACAAAAGGGCACTCAGTCCAGTCATGGGAGTATGCCCTCGAGCAAGGCTTCACCTTAAAGGTATACATCCTGAAATCATCAGTTCCATAGATACCGTTGTTGATATCAGGAAGTGATACATCAACAGGATATTCTTTCTTCTCAGATTCTTTCACCAACTGAGGCAGCACCGTCTTTTCAGATTCGTCTTTCTGGTTAAGAATATGACCGCTAACACCAATTACATTCTCACCTTTTAGCAACAACTCAATCACCTTTCTTCTGGAATTACTCAAAGACTTTAAAGCCAGCACAACCAGATCGATAGGTTTGTTCCCATTAGCATCAACACGATTAACATCAGCAGATGCATCAAGCAACAGCTTGATAATCTCAACCGAAGAATCCGAACCACCAGCAACAGCACAATGAAGGGCAGTAACTGCATCAGTACCACAAGCCCCATTCACATCAATCTTGCCACTTCCAATGATGTATTTCAAAACATCAACGGTACCGAACATGGCAGAGATTATCAAGGGTGTCCTCTCTTCAAATCCCATCTTTCTCGACCAGATTTTTCTACCATACCAGAAACTTGCTTCACCAAGATCCAAACCTTTCTCTTCTACTTCGGTTTTAAAGGCTACCAGATCATTAGAGGCAGCCAATTCGAGCAAAACGGAGCAATTACATGGAGCAACAGTTTTTTGCTCCTGTAGCTCACCCTCCATTGTGAAATTTGAGGAAACGAGTTCACTTTTTGAACCACAACACATCCCCAACAAGCCCTGCATAATTTATATAGCAGCAAGAATTCAGTGTCTCACTCCATAGCAAAAATCAAATAAGAAGAAAACATTCTATAGCTGTGCCAGACCAAAGTACACAGGAATCTTTATGGTTTCTACATACAATTCAAAAGGAAACAAAATTTTCATTCTAGGACCTGAAAGAAAAACAACCCAGAGTCTGATAATCTAATAAAAAGCTACTATTCATGGAACCATATGTAAAAATTATTACATATACTTCAATTTCAAACACTACGAAAATTCAAGCATAGTTCAAACACTCTAAGAAGAAAATAAAAGACCCAAAATTCACAACTTTTTACCAAAAAAGAAAACCCCAACAGACGAGAACTCATGAATTCATAAAAAAATCAGATCAAACATACATAAAATCACTTTTAATAGACAAAGAAGTGAGAATCAAAGTCAAAGTTGAAGTCTTGTTACCTAAAAGCAGTCCCGGACGGAGGGAACGCAGAGAAGAATAAGGTTATATGAAAGGAGGGAAGAGAGTTGGAAATGAAGAAGTAAGAGCAAAGTAGAGAGGGGTTTTTAAAGAAAGGGTTAGAGTTGATTTTGGGGGAAGAAGAAGAAGAGAGGAAAGCGTGAGTTATCTTCCTGGGCCTTCATTTAAGGGTCAAACTTCAAAGGGAAGGGGTCCCTCTTCTTGCTTTATGATTGTTTACAAATGAAAATGAAAGAGGGATGAGAGAGTCCAAGTTGTAAGCCACCCTTTTACGCGTCTGCCTTCCCTTTAGGTGGGTGACATACAGACAGGCCATGTCTCCGCGCTGACTCAGCTTTCCACTTCCACTCTTTTCAACGCCATTGTTTTCTTCTCCTTCTCAATCTCCTTTTCACTTCACTATATATAGGATAAATTACAAATTCAATAACTGAACTATCTTATCTCTTTTATTTTATTCATTATACTTTTAATTTTTTTAATTTACTCACTAAATTTATTGATTTTTTTTTGTTACTCTATGGTAGTGGCGGATACACTAAGTTCTATAGAGTTAAGTGCATCCCATTATCTTGAAAAAGTGGTAAAATTTAACTTAATGTGTAAAGAAAAAAAGAAAAAAATTACAATTTGTACATACCCATTATTTTTAAGAAAAGAAAATTAAAATTTTGGACCACCATTTCTAAATTTCTGGAACCGCCACTGCTCTCTATGGTAACGTGAATTATTTTTTTATTATTATTATTATTTCTCTAATATGATAAATTTATTAATATTTCGTTCTAAATATAATTTAAAATAATAATAATAATTAAAATATTAAAACACCTAAATCTCAATCTCTGTTTTGGTTTCGTCCAACCTCCACCTTCGTTAACCAGGTTCTTCTTGAACCCATTTTTTCATTCTCTTCTTCTTCTTCCATATTGCCGCCTTTCGCAAGATTAATTGATGAGAAAACACATCCAAAAAAAACATAAAAGATTTGAACCCTCCATCTTCCTTAACCATGTTCTTCTTCAACCCATTTTCCCAATCTATTGTTCTTCTTCCATGTTGCTGTCTTTTGCGAGATTAGTTCGATCTCAAGTGGTTCTTTTTGGTTTCCATGATACAGTCTTTCTTCAATGGTTGTGGGCTTGCAAGACATGTCTTTTGGTTGTTCCCACCGATGATTCCATCGACGTACGAATAAGCCAGGAAAGAGAAGGTTTTCGGCTGACAATTGATGACTTGTATATCGTCAGAAAATGAGGTGAAATGGTTGATTCCATGAACCAGAAGTTGTCAGAAAGGTATTTCGGGTTGGGGTTTGAGAAATGATTTGGGGAGCATATAATTAAATATATTAAAATATTAAAAAATATAATATAATATTATTAAAATTATTAATAAATGTATTTTAATAATTAATATTTAAAATAATAATAAAAATAGTATATTAATATTAAATCTATAAATTAGTATTGTTTTGAGTAATTATGTTTTTAAGTAAAAAGTTTAGAAAACAATTTACATAAAATTAATTCATAGATTAATTTTTAAAAAATACAAAAGAAATTTCGTTAATTAAAAATATAAATTAGATTGACCATTTATTTTTTATCAATCAAATACTAAATTTTTAAAAAAAATCAATTACAATAAAATAAACAGAACCTTAGGTACTTAATGGACATGGAAGCTTTTTATTGGATTAAATCGTTTGATTGGAATTTTTTTACAAGCACCTTTAAGAATTCATTGACACGTACATTCTTTTGGAAAAGTTTTACGTTAACAATTTAATATAAATAGTGTAACACTTTAGGAATTAAATTTTAAAAATTATAAAGTGGTAGATTTAATTAGTATTTTGAAAGAAATTATAGATTAAATTTTATAAAATTTCAAAATTGGCAGACTAAGAAGTGCAAGAAGTTCAATGACTAAACTATTGATTTACCTATTTTTTATATAAGATGAATATAAACCACATTTCCCACTATAAGTTCCCAGAATGCTTTCCATTTTCCCCTTCTCCTCAACCCTCCTTACAACATCGATCTATTCGTCCTCCAATCTCCGATCGACAAACCGAAACCATCATCGTGTTCGTTGTCGACCGATGAACAAAACCCCTCAAACGTTTTATCGTGAATCGTCGCCGTTTGTCGTTAATTTCAGTCGAAAGTATCGTCGGAAATAACTCGTTTTCAGTTGGTTTTTGGTCGATTAACGACGATCCGACAATCCGCTTTTGACACCTCCCGCACCATCGTATTCCTTGCATCATTTCGAATCCACCGATGTTCTCTGTTTCTCCGTCGTCGTCGGCGCGTGAAGGGGTGAGACCGTCAAAGTTTCTGACATTTCGGAATTGAGCTCTCTGCCGCTGTTCAAAATTTTGAATCGAGCTTTGTAAGTGCCTCAAAATCGCTAAAAATAATTTTTACGAATTTTTCCGAGAATTTTACAGCACCGTATCACTATTCACACGCCACAAGCGCCACCCCCGAGAGTGGGCATTATCTGGGTGATAATTTTGTAATTAATTTTTGTTTGTGTGCTATTTGTGTAAATTTCGAGTGTTAGTTTGGTAAATATTTGTAGAATGTGGCTAATTTGGTAATTAATTTCTGTTAGGGTGATATTTGTGTAAAATGATCGACTGTTAACTGTTGATTGGCGTTGACCATAGTTGACCAGAACTTTGACCGGCTTTGACCGGGCATTAAACTACCTTTGACTTTGACCGAATATACCTATCCTGATGTTTTTCAACGTTCCAAATATGATTCTGCATTCCGTTTTTCGAAATTCGGATCCGAATGTCTCGAAATTTCCAGTCAAACCCGTTGACTTTGATTTTGACCGAAAATTCAAGATTTTCAAAAAGTCATATTTATGTTTTCGATGTCCTGAATCTTATTCCGAAGTCCGTTTCACCAAAATTCGAACCCGATAAGCTGTTTTTCACTGATTTATCATCTGATTCGATCCGTTTTTCAGAATTAAGCTCCGTTTTTTATGTAATTTATGTTGATATGGATTCGAGGAAATATTGGAAGATGATTTCAAGATCGAGGGCGTTTGAATGGAGTTTAATGGTCGATCAGTATTGCATGAAAATCGAGGCAATATTTTACTACCTCTTTATGCTTTATGGAACATGTTGATATTGGTAAATGCATGAATAAGATAATGTTGATCACTTTTGTGGAGTTGAATAATTTATACACTCGATATGAATGTAGTAGAAATTATGTAACTGAATACGAATCGAATAACTAATATAAGAGATTAAGGAATTGTTAGAATTAAATTACAAGTTTGTGATTGGTGATAAAGAAATCAGCTCTGGATTTGTAACTTATATTTTATATCATCAAAGGTTAAATGTTAAAGGTACTTGGATGGGAAATTATGAGAATACTTCAGTAGGATAAAATTATGAAAATACCCTTATATTGTAAGATGACAAGAATTGTCCCTAGAAGTTGATTAATAACTCTGAAAAGACATTGATTCGGTAAAATTTCATATGTGCATAAGAAATGCTAGTTTTGCTTAGGAAATACGGATAACCGATTTTTAAACCCAAGAGGGTTTGTACAAGATACTAGAAGTCGGTTAAAGAATCATTTCAAGATCAAAGAATGTTCGGGAAAGCAATTAACCATTGGATCTCTAAAAGTATAATTATTTTCGTTAAGAGTTAATACCGAAATTATCTAGTTAAGAAATTACGAAAATGCCCTTGAGAGGTAAAAATAGTCCAAGTTGACTCTGAATGAGAAAGTAACATGAGAATTTATTTTTAAAACGATAAATTACTGATTTGATTGTTGAGATCCTATTTTTGTATGAAAAACTCCTAATAATTCGTCAGCAACATCTGAGAATGCATTTAACCTGTAAATCTCCGACTTGAGTAAGTACATGAAGAATAATAATTTATCGATGTTGATATATTGTCAAAATAGTTCGAAGGGACTGACATAAATGATAAGTTTGAATTAAATAATAAGAATGGACGAAAGAAAATGATTGAAATATTCTAGATCTGTAAGATGACCAAAATACCCCTATAATGGAAATAATTAAATAATATCACCAAGCCAGGAATAAATGGATATCCTCAAGCTTTGAAATGAATGTAAGATCGCTGAGCATAAAAAGGACCAAAATACCCTTATGTCCTAGACTAAGTAAATGTCTTGGATTATTTAAGAAATTCAAATAAACATGGATATTGTACTGCTCTTAAAGGTTATAGAACGCAACTTAAGCTGATCAACCAATATTAGTGTTATATCAATACTTGAATGGCATAGGAACCACTTAAATGCTTGTTTGTTTCCTCAAGTTTGAATTGATGATAATTTGGAAGTACTCAACTCAACGCTAGAGCATATTCTATAGTAAGTAGTGGATATCCGTAAGATAAATCAACCAAGAATACTAGAATGACTCTAGTATATGACTAAATTGAACTGAATGAAAATGCAATATGTATTTGGAATTTAGAAACGTCTGAATTACTCGGGAAAACTCTGAAGTAACAAGAATAGACATGATTGTTAAATGAACCATGAATCAAGTACGTCCGTAATTCCTGATATCGTTGAAACATGGAAAAGAAATAAAGACAGTTAGGAGATCTATTCAGCGATGATTATAGGGATGATCTATGGATCTGTATTATGGTATTAAAGAGTGAATACACTGGAAGGATAATGAATTGACTTGTTGACATGCATCAGTTTGAGAGTTGTGTAGCTCGAGTTGTTTGATAATACGGTCGATAGTCATAGATTGTAAATGACTTGAATCTTCGATTCTATTTTTTCATCTAAAATACTTCGGTCATGTTTGAAAACGCAAGTAACGCAGAAGGAAAAGATTCTGAATACCTCATTTGGTTCAATTGGGTTGAAATCCTATGAATTCAAAGTATATTCCTGAATACCCCTGATTGTTTGGGTAATGGAATCACTCACAATAAATCTGAATTTAGAATTATTATGTATAAAGGTTCCTGAACGTTTTCCTGATGCACATGGAAACTTAGTGGAATTCTAAAGTATCAATCTGAA